TTCGAAGACAAATTTCGTTTTAAATATTTTTCAATTTGGTATCAGGAGGTTATAATGTGCGAGGAGGTGTTTAAGCTCCTAATACACGAGGGGGCAATCAGAAAATTCTTTTAAAATTTTGTCGGCTACCAGGAGAACATAATAGTCGAGGAGGTCTTTTCCCATCACCCACAAAAATATTTCGAAGCCAAATTTCGTTTTAAATCTTTTCCAATTTGGTATCAGGAGGTTATAATGTGCGAGGAGGTGTTTCAGCTCCTAATACACGAAGAGCCAATCAGAAAATTATGTAAAATTTTGTCTGACTACCAGGAGAACATAATAGTCGAGGAGGTCGTTTCCCATCACCCACAAAAATATTTCGAAGCCAAATTGCTTTTTAAATTTTTCCAATTTGGTATCATGAGGTTAGAATGTGCGAGGAGGAGTTTCAGCTCCTAATACACGAGGGGACAATCAGAAAATTCTTTTAAAATTTTGTCTGGCTACCAGGAAAACATAATAGTCGAGGAGGTCGTTTCCCATCACCCACAGAAATATTTCGAAGCCAAATTGCTTTTTAAATTTTTCCAATTTGGTATCAGTAGGTTATAATGTGCGAGGAGGTGTTTCAGCTCCTAATACACGAGGAGACAATCAGAAAATTCTTTTAAAATTTTGTCTGGCTACCAGGGGAACATAATAGTCGAGGAGGTCTTTTCCCATCACCCACAAAAATATTTCGAAGCCAAATTTCGTTTTAAATCTTTTCCAATTTGGTATCAGGAGGTTATAATGTGCGAGGAGGTGTTTCAGCTCCTAATACACGAGGGGACAATCAGAAAATTCTTTTAAAATTTTGTCTGGCTACCAGGAGAACATAATAGTCGAGGAGGTCTTTTTCCTTCATCCCACAAAAATATTTCGAAGCCAAATTTCGTTTTAAATCTTTTCCAATTTGGTATCAGGAGGTTATAATGTGCGAGGAGGTGTTTCAGCTCCTAATACACGAAGTGCCAATCAGAAAATTCTTTTAAAATTTTGTCTGGCTACCAGGAGAACATAATAGTCGAGGAGGTCTTTTCCCATCACCCACAAAAAAATTTCGAAGCCAAATTTCGCTTTAAATTTTTCCAATTTGGTATCAGGAGGTTATAATGTGCGAGGAGGTGTTTAAGCTCCTAATACACGAGGGGACAATCAGAAAATTCTTTTAAAATTTTGTCTGGCTACCAGGAGAACATAATAGTCGAGGAGGTCTTTTCCCATCACCCACAAAAATATTTCGAAGCCAAATTTCGTTTTAAATATTTTCCAATTTGGTATCAGGAGGTTATAATGTGCGAGGAGGTGTTTAAGCTCCTAATACACTAGGGGATGATCAGAAAATTCTTTTAAAATTTTGTCTGGCTACCAGGAGAACATAATAGTCGAGGAGGTATTTTCCCATCACCCACAAAAATATTTCGAAGCCAAATTTCGCTTTAAATCTTTTCCAATTTGGTATCAGGAGGTTATAATGTGCGAGGAGGTGTTTCAGTCCCTAATACACGAAGTGCCAATCAGAAAATTCTTGTAAATTTTTGTATGGCTACCAGGAGAACATAATGGCTGAGGAGGGCTTTTCCCATCACCCACAAAAATATTTCGAAGCCCAATTTCGTTTTAAATCTTTTCCAATTTGGTATCAGGAGGATATAATGTGCGAGGAGGTTTTTCAGCTCCTAATACATGAAGTGCCAATCATAAAATTCATGTAAAATTTTGTCTGGCTACCAGGAGAACATAATAGTCCAGGAGGTCTTTTCCCATCACGCACAAAAATATTTCGAAACCAAATTTAGTTTTAAATCTTTTGCAATTTGGTATCAGGAGGTTATAATGTGCGAGGAGGTGTTTCAGCTCCTAATACACGAAGTGCCAATCAGAAAATTCTTGTAAAATTTTGTCTGGCTACCAGGAGAGCATAATGGTTGAGGAGGTCTTTTCCCATCACCCACAAAAATATTTCGAAGCCAAATTTCGTTTTAAATCTTTTCCAATTTGGTATCAGGAGGTTATAATGTGCGAGGAGGTGTTTCAGCTCCTAATACACGAGGGGATAATCAGAAAAATCTTTTAAAATTTTGTCTGGCTACCAGGAGAACATAATAGTCGAGGAGGCATTTTCCCATCACCCACAAAAATATTTCGAAGCCAAATTTCGTTTTAAATCTTTTCCAATTTGGTATCAGGAGGTTATAATGTGCGAGGAGGTGTTTAAGCTCCTAATACACGAAGTGCCAATCAGAAAATTATTGTAAAATTTTGTCTGGCTACCAGGGGAACATAATAGTCGAGGAGCTCTCTTTCCCATCACCCAAAAAATATTTCGAAGCCAAATTTCGTTTTAAATCTTTTCCAATTTGGTATCAGGAGGGTATAATGTGCGAGGAGGTGTTTAAGCTCCTAATACACGGAGTGCCAATCAGAAAATTATTGTAAAATTTTGTCTGGCTACCAGGAGAACATAATAGTCGAGGAGGTCTTTTCCCATCACCCACAAAAATATTTTGAAGCCAAATTTCGTTTTAAATCTTTTCCAATTTGGTATCAGGAGGTTACAATGTGCGAGGAGGTGTTTCAGCTCCTAATACACAAGGGGACAATCAGAAAATTCTTTTAAAATTTTGTCTGGCCACCAGGAGAACATAATAGTCGAGTAGGTCTTTTCCCACCACCAACAAAAATATTTCGAAGCAAAATTTCGTTTTAAATCTTTTCCAATTTGGCATCAGGAGGTTATAATGTGCGAGGAGGTGTTTAAGCTCCTAATACACGAAGTGCCAATCAGAAAATTATTGTAAAATTTTGACTGGCTACCAGGGAACATAATAGTCGAGGAGGTCTTTTCCCATCACCCACAAAAATATTTCAAAGCCAAATTTCGTTTTAAATCTTTTCCAATTTGGTATCAGGAGGTTATAATGTGCGAGGAGGTGTTTCAGCTCCTAATACACGAGGGGATAATCAGAAAAATCTTTTAAAATTTTGTCTGGCTACCAGGAGAACATAATATTCGAGGAGGTCTTTTCCCATCACCCACACAAATATTTCGAAGCCAAATTTCGTTTTAAATCTTTCCCAATTTAGTATCAGGAGGTTATAATGTGCGAGAAGGTGTTTCAGCTCCTAATACACGATGGGATAATCAGAAAAATCTTTTAAAATTTTGTCTGACTACTAGGAGCACATAATAGTCGAGGAGGTCTTTTCTCATCACCCACAAAAATATTTCGAAGCCAAATTTCGTTTTAAATCTTTTCCAATTTGGTATCAGGAGGTTATAATGTGCGAGGAGGTGTTTCAGCTCCTAATACACGAAGTGCCAATATATGCTTTGGTCATGATTGCTCAGCATACACTATCCATGACAACATTATTCGTTATGCATGAATGCGGGTGCTTTATATTTATATTTAAATCCCTGAGTAAAGTTTAAGTGCAAAATACATTTCCAAAGTCATTATTAGAAAGATAAATATAGCAACCATTTTCCGGGGCGAACGATTTAGGGATCAACGACTGATCGAACAAGGCTTTTACTCCGAAATCACTACGTTGCACCGTAGAGGGGGAAATATTTAGGGGCGAATGACCGAACGGTGTTTCACCTTGACCTACTTTTCAAGGTTACCGCCAAGCGTCGAACGCCCTTTGAAGTTTATCTTGACCTATGTGGTACCGCAAGAAATGGGGTTGTTAACCTTTGGTAACCTTGAAAGTAAAATATGCCAACACAGAAAATCGACCTCCTCCTTCACCATGATCCAAGGTCATCATCGGGTGGCGAGCGGTCCAGGTTGAATATTGTACCATCCACAATACTCCCCAGACTTAAACCCTTGTAATTTTGACTTAATTCCTAAGATGAAGGAACCACTTCGTGACATTTTCAGAGATACTTTTGAGGGAGTAGACGCTACTGAAGATTATTTTCCGAAACATGGTGGAGGTAGCAAACAATGATGAGAGCTTCTGTGATTTTGTAAGAGAATTCGAAGTAGTGGGATTGGTGGAAACGTGGAAGAAATGGATTATAGAATGCCGAAAGGATTCGCATGGAAGAAGTAATTCTGAAGAAAGAGAGAGCAAAAAATACGAAAGGTGGTTATGTAGGAATGGAAAGATTTAAGGAAGAAATAAGAAATGTGGCGGAGAAGAAAGGGGAAGAAGGAATTATAAGGGTACCTAAACGCTTGAATACGGAATAAAAGAAAGTGGGTAGCGATGGGAAAAGGCAAACAAGAGCGAAGATTGCTATTAGAAATGACAGAAAAAGGAGGATGGAGAATAGTGAACGAAGTGTGCGATAGAGACGGACGATACACTTGGAGAAATATGGAGATCGATGCTGGATTACATTATAGTAAGTGAAAAAGTGTAAAAAAGCAAAAGGATTTATGACAGGAACGTGGACGGAATGGCAGAAGAAGATAGAATAAAGAAGGTTACAAAAGTCTGGACGAATGAAAGAAGAATACAGCGGAAGCTATAGCATTACAATACCATGGAAACAGATAAAAATAGGAGGCGAGAAAGAAAAAAAAATGGTGGGAATTATAATAGAAACATAGATGCAGCATAGTGATGGAAAAAGATAGAAGGCGAGTAATTTGAGAAAACAAAAAATGTACAAAAACATGTAAAAGATAAATGGAATGTGGAAGAATAGCAATGGAATCGAAGCAGAGAAGGATTTCTGGAAAATGACAAAGAGCAGACTCACTCGATAAAGATGCTTTAAAAACAGAACAAATTACGAAGGAAATCAAGGGAGATGAAAAAATTATGAAATAGCTGGCGTTTGATAGGGTAGTAAACTAGTAACATGGCAAACGAGCTTCTGGGTCAGTGAAAATTTAATCAGTTATCCTTGGGTGATGATAAACAAAATACTGAAAACAGAATTGGAAAATTCGAAACCGCTCGCGAGTAATCATGCACGCAGACGGACGGACAGAAAGTCCGAAGTCATAGACTCGTATAGTATATTGAATATAAAATATAATACACTAGGGTTGATAAGAAGTGGTCCAAAAAGCTTCAAAAAAATTAAAAAAGAATTGAAAAAAGGTTCGCCCACTTGCATAACTCAATTCATTCGATTTGTTTGTTGAGTTTATCTTTTTCTAGACGAAATTGGTACATAAAACAGTGCTGCTCAAAAAAGTAAGAGTGTTTTCAAAACTAGAGGTGAGTGACAAACGGAACGTAACATGAGCCGTCCTCGTATTCCATATTCAAACCACTCCTTCAATTTTACAGAGATTTTTTGCATTCGAATTTGGATTAATACCAGCGCATTCCAAGTATGTTCTGTAGTGAACAAGAGTTTAGATTTACGTTTTGGCTTAACCTCCCATTTACATTTCAGTGACCGTAATTTCCGCCTTCGTCATCCTGACCATGCCCCGTAACAAGCAGAACGTTCCACCCGAAGACGTCTTACATCGCAACGTGTTCCCATGGGTGGCCATCGCCTCCACAGTGTTAAACGTGCTGCTGGCGAACACTCTGCTTTCGGAGGCATGGTTCGGCGTCATAATGTGGCTGTGTGGCGGACTCGTACTGTTTTGCCGCTGCGATTGCTGCAACTGCGAAGGTCTATACCCATCGTCGAAGGAGCGACTTAGATTGCAGCCGAAGAAGGAGTGCGCCCAATACAATGATCACATCGACGCGGTGCTGATAACGAGATGACACAACTGCTGCTGCGACGTCAATTGTTCCGCGGACACTCATGACGTGTACGAATCCTACTATTTTTGCGAAGAAGACGAGTGAACCGGCCTCCTCGCCCACCGAGTGTGCCATTTGTTCATCTGTTAATAAAAGTATATTTTCGTGAATTAAAATTTAATGAATTCTTGCAGGTACTATAACAACATAATTTTGTACCACCGATCTTTAATAGATAAGTACTAACAATTAAAAATCTACTCAAAGATTAATATTATGGCAGTGGTTTATTTGCTATTAGGAATGGGTCCCTTCAGAAATCATGGCCTTAATACATCACGAATTAGAACCTTTTCCCTTCCTCCCAGGTCCTGTATTTTATTAAGATGTTTTCAATTTTGCCCAATCTTTACCAAAGCTCCTCTGGAGCTCACTTCTGAAGTCCATCGTTATATTTTCCCAACGTTCCTCTCAAATTCCCTCTATGAGTTCAAATTACTATCACGGTGACTGCTCAATTTCTTCCTCCATTTTTTATTAAGACTAAAGTCAGATCGGATCTGAGGTTTTCTTCCCAAATATTCGCCCGTGCCCAAGATTTCCTCGATCCTTTCATTCCAAATCCCAATCGTTTAACCGCACGGAAGCCTCTCCAGCCCCCGCATGCACAGCCAAGTGCTCTAGTCACAGAAGTGCTTCCATTGCCAAAGTTGGCGTGTTTCCAGGGAAATATGGAAGCCTCAGTGTCTCCACTTTTTTCCCCGGATCTTTCAAAAAATCTTAAGAAAGATTCTGGACTTCTGGAAGCTCCCTTATGTAGCCATCACTTATATCTGTGCTGAACGATCTTGAAATCTTCCCAGTCCGTCATCAGGCAGCTTATTTCGCGTAGTGCGAACCTCGTTACGAACCTTTTTTAAGGTCTGAGTGTTCTCTCCGTTCCTCGAAAGGTCCGCAGGTTACAGCTGTCCTCATATGACGCTATTCTCACGTCGTTTACTAATGCGGCCAACTGTTTCCAACCAAAGGTAGCTTATCCAACAACTCTGACGGTTGCGCCACATAGCAGTCTCTAGCAGTGGGTCAGGGCTTACGAAGCCTACAGGGCCCGTAGAGGGATGTCAGGATTAATTAAAAATGTGCCTTTGGTACGAAACCCTCTCCAACTTGTGAAAAGAAGCCTACCGCAATATTCAGTCTTCAAGCCTTCCATCAATTAAGCATTCAAAGTTTCAAGCCTTTAAACCTTCAGCTTTAAACCCCTCAAGCCCCCAAGCCCTCAAGTCCTCAAGCCCTTACGCTGTGAGGCAGTCAATCCTTCAATCCTTGAATCCGTCAAGTCTTCAATTTTTCAAGCCCTTACGCTGTCAAGCCTTCACGCCTTCAGGCCTTCTTGCCTTTTTTTGAGCCCAGAAAAAAAAATTGTCTCAGACCGACCCGGAAAAAAATTTTCTTATAGAATGTGGCCTGTAGAATCCATCATTTCAAACAGTTCTAAGATTGGGCTACTAGTTCAAAAGTTACAGCCCTTTGAATTTTTTTTCGAAATTGGTCTATAACTTTTGATTGAGAAGTCTGATCGAAAAAGTACGAATTGATTTGGATTCTACGCACCCAAATTAATAAGAAAAAGTGTTTTCCCGAGAAATTTTGGTGTAGTCGATTTTTGGTAAAAAATGTAGGTTATATACTGCCTTTTTTTAGCCCCGAAAAATTTGTTTCTAGTCTATAACTTTTGATTGAGAAGTTTGATCGAAAAAGTACAAATTGATTTGGATTCTTCGCACTCAAATTAATAAGAAAAAGTGTTTTCCCGAGAAGTTTTGGTGTAATCGATTTTTGGTAAAAAATGATGGTTATACACTGCCTTTTTTTTGAGCCCCGAAGAAAAAATTGTCTCAGATTGATCCGGAAAAAAAGTTTTCTTATAGAATGCGGCCTGTAGAATCCATAATTTCAAACAGTTCCATGATTGGGATACTAGTTCAAAAGTTACAGCACTTTGAATTTTTTTTCGAAATTGGTTTCTAGTCTATAACATTTGATTGAGCAGTCTGATCGGAAAAGTACAAATTGATTTGGCTTCTACGCACTCAAATTAATAAGAAAAAGTGTTTTCCCGAGAAATTTTGGTGTAGTCGATTTTTGGTAAAAAAGGAAGGTTATACACTGCCTTTTTTTGAGCCCAGAAAAAAAAATTGTCTCAGATCGACCCGGAAAAAAAATTTTCTTATAGAATGTGGCCTGTAGAATCCATAATTTCAAACAGTTCCAAGATTGGGTTACTAGTTCAAAAGTTACAGCACTTTGAATTTTCTTTCGAAATTGGTTTCTAGTCTATAACTTTTGATTGAGAGGTCTGATCGAAAAAGTACGAATTGTTTTGGATTCTACGCACCCAAATTAATAAGAAAAAGTGTTTTCCCGAGAAATTTTGGTGTAGTCGATTTTTGGTAAAAAAGGAAGGTTATACACTGCCTTTTTTTGAGCCCCGAAAAAAAAATTGTCTCAGATCGACCCGGAAAAAAAATTTTCTTATAGAATGTGGCCTGTAGAATCCATAATTTCAAACAGTTCCAAGATTGGGCTACTAGTTCAAAAGTTACAGCCCTTTGAATTTTTTTTCGAAATTGGTTTCTAGTCTATAACTTTTGATTGAGAGGTCTGATCGAAAAAGTACGAATTGATTTGGATTCTACGCACCCAAATTAATAAGAAAAAGTGTTTTCCCAAGAAATTTTGGTGTAGTCAATTTTTGGTAAAAAAGGAGGTTATACACTGCCTTTTTTTGAGCCCCGAAGAAAAAATTGTATCGGATCGACCCGGAAAAAAAATTTTCTTATAGAATGTGGCCTGTAGAATCCATAATTTCAAAGAGTTCCAAGATTGGGCTACTGGTTTAAAAGTTAGAGCCCTTTGAATTTTTTTTCGAAATTGGTTTCTAGTCTATAACTTTTGATTAAGAGGTCTGATCGAAAAAGTACGAATTGATTTGGATTCTACGCACCCAAATTAATAAGAAAAAGTGTTTTCCCGAGAAATTTTGGTGTAGTCAATTTTTGGTAAAAAAGGAAGGTTATACACTGCCTTTTTTTGAGCCCCGAAGAAAAAATTGTCTCAGATCGACCCGGAAAAAAAATTTTCTTATAGAATGTGGCCTGTAGAATCCATAATTTCAAACAGTTCCAAGATTGGGCTACTAGTTCAAAAGTTACAGCCCTTTGAATTTTTTTTCGAAATTGGTTTCTAGTCTATAACTTTTGATTGAGAAGTCTGATCGAAAAAGTACGAATTGATTTGGATTCTACGCACCCAAATTAATAAGAAAAAGTGTTTTCCCGAGAAATTTTGGTGTAGTCGATTTTTGGTAAAAAAGGAAGGTTGTACACTGCCTTTTTTTGAGGCCCTCAAAAAAAATTGTCTCGGATCGACCCGGAAAAAAAAATTTTCTTATAGAATGTGGCCTGTAGAATCCATAATTTCAAACAGTTCCAAGATTGGGCTACTAGTTCAAAAGTTACAGCCCTTTGAATTTTCTTTCGAAATTGGTTTCTAGTCTATAACTTTTGATTGAGAAGTCTGATCGAAAAAGTACGAATTGATTTGGATTCTACGCACCCAAATTAATAAGAAAAAGTGTTTTCCCGAGAAATTTTGGTGTAGTCAATTTTTGGTAAAAAAGGAAGGTTATACACTGCCTTTTTTTGAGCCCCGAAAAAAAATTGTCTCAGATCGACCCGGAAAAAAATTTTTCTTATAGAATGTGACCTGTAGAATCCATAATTTCAAACAGTTCCAAGATTGGGCTACTAGTTCAAAAGTTACAGCCCTTTGAATTTTTTTTCGAAATTGGTTTCTAGTCTATAACTTTTGATTGAGAAGTCTGATCGAAAAAGTACGAATTGATTTGGATTCTACGCACCCAAATTAATAAGAAAAAGTGTTTTCCCGAGAAATTTTGGTGTAGTCGATTTTTGGTAAAAAATGAAGGTTATACACTGCCTTTTTTTAGCCCCGAAAAATTTGTTTCTAGTCTATAACTTTTGATTGAGAAGTTTGATCGAAAAAGTACAAATTGATTTGGATTCTTCGCACTCAAATTAATAAGAAAAAGTGTTTTCCCGAGAAGTTTTGGTGTAATCGATTTTTGGTAAAAAATGATGGTTATACACTGCCTTTTTTTTGAGCCCCGAAGAAAAAATTGTCTCAGATTGATCCGGAAAAAAAGTTTTCTTATAGAATGCGGCCTGTAGAATCCATAATTTCAAACAGTTCCAAGATTGGGATACTAGTTCAAAAGTTACAGCCCTTTGAATTTTCTTTCGAAATTGGTTTCTAGTCTATAACTTTTGATTGAGAAGTCTGATCGAAAAAGTACGAATTGATTTGGATTCTACGCACCCAAATTAATAAGAAAAAGTGTTTTCCCGAGAAATTTTGGTGTAGTCGATTTTTGGTAAAAAATGAAGGTTATACACTGCCTTTTTTTGAGCCCCGAAGAAAAAATTGTCTCAGATCGATCCGGAAAAAAAGTTTTTTTATAGAATGTGGCCTGTAGAATCCATAATTTCAAACAGTTCCAAGATTGGGCTACTAGTTCAAAAGTTACAGCCCTTTGAATTTTTTTTCGAAATTGGTTTCTAGTCTATAACATTTGATTGAGCAGTCTGATCGGAAAAGTACAAATTGATTTGGCTTCTACGCACTCAAATTAATAAGAAAAAGTGTTTTCCCGAGAAATTTTGGTGTAGTCGATTTTTGGTAAAAAAGGAAGGTTATACACTGCCTTTTTTTGAGCCCAGAAAAAGAAATTGTCTCAGATCGACCCGGAAAAAAAAATTTTCTTATAAAATGTGGCCTGTAGAATCCATAATTTCAAACAGTTCCAAGATTGGGCTACTAGTTTAAAAGTTAGAGCCCTTTGAATTTTTTTTCGAAATTGGTTTCAAGTCTATAACCTTTGATTGAGAAATCTGATCGAAAAAGTACAAATTGATTTGGATTCTACGCACCCAAATTAATAAGAACAAGTGTTTTCCCGAGAAATTTTGGTGTAGTCGATTTTTGGTATGGTCAACAGCAAATAAATTCTAAATCTAAAAACACCCTCGGAAACACAAAATGCAGTTGAAAGGGGCCAATTGACCCCTCGTGGGGCCCGTAGGGAGGTAACAAAGCTTGGGTCTTCTAGTGTGTCCAAATTCTTGATATAAGCGATTAGTTTGATTTTTATAGAAAGAGATGTCATTAAAGTGGCAAGGAGTTTACATCACCAATAGGCAAGTTAGTTCTGCACGCACCCAGGCCCAACGTACTCAACTATTGACTGTTTGTTATAAAAAGTCGACCTGTAAGATGTGGTGCCTAACACTAGGAGTATGTCATCACATTTTTTTTTTAAATTCTTAGGGGATTTTGAAACTTTTATCTCAGGTACGATGGATTTTAAAATGATTTTTAAGGAAGGGTTCAATCAATGAATAGGAGACTTGTTCAATTGAAACGTCCTTTCGGATGGTGTCATTTTGCATCAGGACAATGCTCGGCCTGATGACATAGTAATGAAAAATTTGCAGCAAATGTGAAGGATTTTACAGCATGCGTCCTCGTCACCTTTCGATTTCCTGATCTTTGAGCCATTGACAAAGATGTTAAAAGGCAACCGTTTTCAGGTAGACGCAGAAGCAGAATTCTATAAGCAAAGTATACATACTGTAAATATGAGTTTTTTAATTAAAATTTAATTTCTTGCAGGTACTACTTAACAACATAATTTTGTAACATCGATTTTTAATAAATAAGTGCTAACAATAAAAATCGACTCAAAGATCAATATGGCAGTAGTCATAATCTATGATTAACAAATATCACAATGGAATCACTTAAATAAAAATTGCACTATAAGAGGAATGTCCGATCACAACGTTCACCACAGACCATCATCGGGTGCTTTACTCGGTTTCAGTCTTGAAATACTCTTCTGAATTGGTGACACATTGCTAGACGAGCCATTTAAAAAATTCCTATGGCAAGTCGCGGTTTCTTCGCCTATTTGGTACGGGTACCTCCAAGACGACTTTGGAGTGGATAGCTCGAAAGCGGGACTGTCGATTCCCTGCTTCTCGGACTCGCGCGTCTTGGAGGACAGGCGCCTGAAGCACGACGTTTAAGCACGCGACTGTGGTAACTCGCATACTTGCCTTAAAATCCGCGAACTGAAGCCGGTTGGTTCCTCCAGCTTGCTGTTGTTGCTCGAACGTTTCTTTTGGAAACGTTTGCCGTGACTATCCTCGATGATAATGTGCCGATCGTAGGGGGTATCATAGTTAACCTCGAGAATCGTCGAGAAGCTGTGCGGATACACAATCTCTATAATTGTGATGATAACCCCGGTGAAAAGGCAGACACTTCCTGCAACCGCACCATCAACTACCACAACTTACTCAAGATCTAAGCGATTACCTGCAATGAACACTAACCAAAAGCACCACCCTAAATGGAGATAAATGGCACTACCCTCGAGGTGAATGATAAGCGGCGCCTCCGGTAGCATGCCGAAGTATCCGCACGCGGTCGCTAAAAGTAAAATACCACAAAATGTCATTAACAAAGCGCCATAGCGAGGAACTACGAGTATCATCAAGTTCATCAGCAGCCACGTCACCAGGGAAGCCCTAAAAGTGGAAATGTACACCGACCACGATAACATTTGGACGAACCACAGCATTACGGATCCAAAATAACCGGCGGCCCTATACTGCCCACCCCAGGAGAGACCTTCTTGTCCCAAGCTAAAGTACTCGGCGACTGTCAGTATTGGGAAAGGTAGGCCTCGTTTAATCGCCTCCTTGAACGTCGTGCCCATTTTATCCGAAGTCAGCCACATGAATTGTTCGTTGAAGTCAATTTCATAGGATGAGTTACCGTGAAGAGTGACGTTCACGTGCCTCAGTCCGATGTGCACCCCCAAACTGGCGTTGATTTTCTCCTTCGAGAACGCGCGGTACGTACTCGAAATAGCGGTACACCCCACGTGCCAGGCGGATCCGACCATGGTCACTACGACTCACCTTTTAGCGATTTGCGAGTTTAAAAACCGACCGCAACTTACCGACAATCGTACCTCCGACGAACAGGCTAAGGGTGACGAAGAAAAACGTCGTGAATCTCTGAAATGATATCGTCTATACCGTCTCATCCATTGCGCCACCAAACCTCACTTACCTCTTTGCGTATTCCGGGAAAGACGATTAGGAATGCCACGTATAGAGTGCAGAAGATCGCGAGGAAGGTGATCAGGGTTACGTCGCCGGTGACGGCCGTTCGATTGTTAAAGTTGTAAAGCGTCGGCCCGCCGTCATATCGGAACGCGTCGAACCAGCCCCTCATGGCCGTGCTCTTCCTGAAATTTGAAAGCGATCTCAGTCTCAACGTAATGCTTTTGATTTAAGTAGTAGCATAGAGGAAATACAATAAGAGTTACACAAACAAATAGCAAAAACTGGCATTGCTAATTTTCGCTCAGGAGATGCTGTCATCTGCTTTTAAAGGGGTGTAACTAACCAGGGGTAAGAACCCCCTCTGCATATATTGTCCCTTTGAGGTCGACTTAATGTGGTTCTAAGGGAATTGATATTGTTTTAATTTGTAAAGTAAGCGGTCGGGCAATCTGTCAATGAAACTCGGTAGAGCAAAGTAATTAAAAATGAGCAATATTCTTTGGCACCGTTAAGGAAGATCGAATCTCAGAGTGTTGCACGGTAAATTCTTTTCATTTAGCATCCATTAATTGAATTAAATACATAATAATCGTTCGTAGCCTTTATTATTCCCGCAACATGCGTGTGGTCTAGTTGCTTAGAAATAAAAGCATAATGCAGCAATTGGGGGAGTGATTTAGGAATATGACTTAATGAGAGTTAAGGTTGACACAATTGTATTTCTGTACTTGTTTGTGCCCACACTTAACTTTGTCCGTGCTCTTCCTGAAATTTGAAAGCGATCTTAGTCTCAACGTAATACAATATTGAAAGCATTTTAGCACCCCAACGAAAATTTGTTTCTAAAAATATGTTTTTTTACTTTTTACAAAAAAAGTGTTAATACGGTTTCTTTTCTCCGAATTTGCTCAGATTTTAATTTATTTAGTAGTAAAAACATTTTTTATATTAATTAAATAGTGTAGAATTATTTCCCAAATTTGGTTTTTGTGCCCCTAAAAATTTGCCGCTATGGGCCCAGGCCCACATAGCCCCATGCCCAATCCGAGCCTGCACGTAGGTACGAAAAACGCGCTTTCTTTAAAGAGGTCTCAAGATAATGGAATAAAAAATGTTTCCAACCGAATGTGGTTTTCGCTTCAGGTGTTTCATCCCCAAAATGACCCTCTAGGCTGAAATTATCCGCGATTCGGCCCAACGTGGGAAGTTAAAGTAGCAAGGTGGGGGAGAGCAGTGCTATGTTGGCAGTTTGGCACCCACCAAAAACATCACTTCAACAGAGACACCTCTCAACGTGTTACAAAGCACCTAAAGTCCACCCCAACAAGTAGATGGAAGTGTGGCCCGTGTGGCGCAGTTCAGATAAAGCTGAATTGTGGTACTAAGGGTCCCTGGTTCGAATCCGGGTTCGGGCATAGATATTTGTAAATGCATAGTGGGATCGGTTGGTAGAGCAGCCTTGGGTGAAACCCTGCCCACTCAAAAAAAAAATAAAAAAAATAAAAAAGACTTTAAAGGACAATAGTTAGTTGTCCTAACGGATCAGACCTGAGGGCACCTTGGGGAGGCCTGTGGGCATCGCCCACATCGTCAACTTCAAGACCATAAGGAAACCGAAGACAATGAAGATGACTATGAAGCCTCCAATAGCGATTTTGACACCTTTCAGTCAAAATAGGCATCGAAATACTCCGTTTAGTTGATTTTGCAATAAAATCGGCGATTATGATATTGACATGCCTAGGCCCAAATGCATGTGTTCATCAAACATGCACCACTTCCCCGACGAAATCGGTGTATAAATAAAGACTTTGACACCTCTAAATATAAAAACCAATTTCCCGGATGCCTGAGGGAGGGGGGTATTTACGAACTAAGTACAGAATTGGTTTGTTTCGGTATTTCTCCAGTCTTTTAGAATTGCTTGTAATTGCGTAATTGATGATTTAATTCTAAAACGTGAAATTGCGTGTTACAACGTAGGCACATCTGGTCTTTTGCGATAAGAGGTTTTATTATTGGACGAGAATTATTAACGCGCGTGTTTTTCCGCTTATAGCAGAGGGTTGCAGGAATTCAGAAATGTGTGCAATAGTTGGGCGTAAGTGGGGACGCGTTCTGTCGAAGCTGGGGTTATCAAGGCTAATTACGAATGGCGCTTTATTGTGAAAACCGGAAGGAGATTAAGTCTTTGTGTAAGTAGTGTTTCCTACTATACCAGGAATCAACGACAGGCTGCTGATAGGTGGGTTGCGACGGTTGGAAAGCGTACGTTTTTTCGCGCTATTCTTATTCATGCGTTCCATCCTATTTCATTGATTGAAGACGTAATCCGTCATTAGAACTGGGTGCCTTCTTAGATATTGGGAGAGGGAGGGGGACTTTGACAACAGAGCAGTACACGTGGTAGTCTGCAGCTAGTAGTCCTGCATGTTTAAAAATAGAAATATCCACGCTGCTTGTTAACCAGAATACCGTGGGGGTACGCACTATGATGGGGTGCCCGAAGGGACGGGTGTTATCCGCGTGTATCATTGTGGAAATGAAACTAAACAGAGTGCAATAGTTGACCTGCTTTGGAATAATAGAAACCCTTCTAAACCTACCGCCGCTACACTCGGTATTAAGGGGTAATGCATTGAAACTGGTTAAAGATAAACTCAGAATCAAAGGTCTAAATACAATTCATTGGAAATGATCCCTGAATAAAACATCAAAGTGCCATGAGGATGAAGAACCCCCTCTGTATATATTGTCCCTCTGAGGTGTACAACAGGTCAATGCATGTGATCGCTTTCAGTATACGATTCGACTTAATGTGGTTCTAAGGGAATGAATATTGTTTTAATATCTAAAGTAAGCCGTCGGGCAGTCTGTCAATGAAACTCGGTAAGTAAAAAAGAGCAATATTGTTTGACACTGTTAGGGAAAATCGAATCTCACAGTGTTGCACGGTAACTTCTTTTCATTTGACCCTCATTAATTGAAATAAATACATTTGGCGTAGCCTTTATTATTCCCGAAACATGCAACTGGGGGAGTGATCTAAGGATATGCTTTAATGAGAGTTAAGGTTGACACAATTGTATTTCTGTACTTTTATCAATTCATGAACATAAATTGGAGTATTTGAAAGAAATATGTGCTAGTTTAGTAGTTGTAAAACGTTTACTGCAGCTGTCAGTAATGCCAGAATTGAGCCTTAAATTCTGGTTCTGTAAACTGCAGGCCATTTCACTGCAGTTGTCGTGGAGTCTTAAACATTGGTTCAGTAAACCGCAAGCCATTTCAACCCTTAATACCAGGGCCTTTTACACAGTCCTACGTCAGTTCAGCTCTCGTTTCAGTTCGAAAAGGGTATGTTTTACACGATCCGTTAGTTCTCAGTATTTTCAGCCGTTTCAGTTCTTTGTAGCCCTGAACTGAGTGCATAACTGACTGACACACTTGTTTATACATAGGAATTTTAAGAACTGAAATGAAACGAACAGGTCTATCCCTCCCGTCAGTTCTCAGTCTCCGAAATGTTATACGTGTATGGGCTTCATAGTGAAAGAGATCGGAACTAATATGTAATAGAATGAAGCGCTTTTAGGTAAGAAACGAGTGTGCAAGCAGATAAGGGTCAACACGCCACAGTGTTACTGCTCTTAAAAACCGATCTTACGCAGGCACGGCTTTTCTGGTACCACTTTACATGTATAAAAAAGTAGCGGAAGTTTAATTTGCGTTGGGTCCGTTTCAGGTTTTTGAATTGGAGTGCATATTCGGAAAAATTAGGTGGGAGAGTTAATGACACGTGTAAAGAATTGACAGACCTGGTGCAGCACAAGATAAACACCGAGAAAGCACAACCAATTAGACACTCACCTAGACCTCTTCCAGCTAGCAAAACTGGAGGAAGCGGAAGAGACATGGAATCTGAAGGTGTTATCGAGTCATCTAATAGTCCTTGGGCTGCGCCTGTGGTATTGGTTAAAAAGAAGGATGGGCCAATACGACTGTCGATGATGGCCGCTTCAATGGCGTGACAACAAAAGATGGCTATCCACTTCCACTAATTTGCGACACGTTGATACGATATCCGGTTTTTTTCGACTTTTGATTTAAAAAGCAGTTATTGGCAAGTGGAGATGGAACCAGAAGATCGGGAGAAGACAGCATTTACGGTCGGATCGGGATTATGGCATTTGACGGGCATGCCGTTTGGATTGTGTAACGCGCCCGCGACGTTTGAACGTCTCATGGAAAATAATATGCTAAAAGGGTTATCGTGGAAGTTTGTTTAATCTACCTGGACGACATCATCACCAAGAATCTGCCAGAGGCTTCGATTGGCCGAAAAAGTAACATATTTTCCAAAGTAAGGTTCAATATTTCGGACGTGGTGTTACTCTAAGAAGTCAAGAGCCGTTAGAGAATGGCCAACCCCAATTGATAATTGGACCTTGAAATGCCCCTACTCGACATATTGACATTTTAAGGGAGAGAAATTGAAACTAGGGAGTACAATAGACCAATTTGCACCGTATGTACCACACCGTTTGATCATTAGCGAGTTATGTGCCAAGTGGAATGAAGGTTGGATCCCTTCACTTTCAAGAAATTTTACAGAAAAGTGCTCCAAAGGGAAGCTTGAATAATTACAATTTTGCTTCCACGTCCTCTCAAAGCAGAACCTCAAAGATTATGTATCGCGTTAACCAGAGCATAAATTTACAAATTTTACTTATCCTCGAGAAATTTAATTCAACCGTACCCGCGATTATATAATTGGAGTAAATAATAATTAAACGGGAAGTCTTATGGGCCAAAATCCGCCGGGAAAGGATGCAAATAGGCCGAAACATAAAAAATAATTAATTACTCATTCCGGTGGCAATAAAAAATCCGGAAAAATTAGTATCGCATTAAAACTTACCCAATCTTTTCATTAATTACGTTTAATTACGAATTTCCAATCCTCGCACAAAAGTAAACGCAATAAGTAGTACAATACCGACACATTAGTTTGCTAACAGCTTGTGAGCAACTGGAAGTGGTGTAGCGTAATTTTTAGTTTTAACATTTTATTATTATGGCTAATAAACGTTCACTTTGTCTTTTAATAGAAACTTGGACACGCATCGCCGACCACATCCGCCTTATGATTTGTTTATAATAAATCTTAGTACCTATATAT